GATTCGGGAGCTTCGCTTTGTCATCACACCTGGGAGCCAATGTGAGGTGTCAAATGAGATACATTAACAATTGTCATCGGATGAGTGACCAGATGGTGGCAGAGCAGGCCCCAGCTCCTTGCGCTTTTTGGGAGTAGTGACCTTTTCTCAGTAGATCACCAGGACTTTTTCCCTAGGAACCTCTGAATGGGTTTAAAATGCCGTCATTTCGGGTATAACTGAGTACTTAACCATCAGGACCACCTCAGAAACAGATGTTGATGACTCAGAGGGCACCTAGGGACTTTCTTGCTCTTAGAAATTTAGGAACACCATCCCTAAGGTCTCTCAAATCAGAGACTAAGCAGGAAGATGCAGGAGTAAAGAATGGGTTTGACAGCTTTGGACATTTAATATAAAAACCGAAATTGCAGCACAATCGTGCATTTCCATAAGCATGAAACCAGCAAGGAATATTCTGACGCTTTATGGCAGAGCAGTGATTACTGTGTGTTGATTAGCTGCACTATTCTTATCCAGATCCTTTGTGATTCAGTGTAGGGCATTGATAAAACGGTGAGCTCACATATGTAGCAATGAGGCCCACAGCCCATGGTCGACAGGGTGAAACAATCCCGGACTCATTGAGGTGAGGTCATTGGGTTTCCGAGGTTGTACGTCACTGGGGAGGAAAGTGCTTGTCTTTCCCCCATGGAGCTGCTGAGGGATTCGAACCACCAGAGAGGTTCATTCAGCCTTTGGGATGTCAGAGCAGCTCCCTGCGGACTAAGCCACTGGATCTCCAGCCACCAACAGTGGGAGCTGGGACTGCAGACAGGACAGGAAGCCATAGTGCAATTTTAAGGCCTTTCCACTGGTTACTGGCAAAGATCAGAAAATATTTTCCCAAAGGGGGGCCCTTAGCTGTGTTTTGGATGTGAAGTGGAAAGTGACTTCAGGAGAGAATCATTCCTTATGCGTGAGGAGCCCATGCTACGTGCCAGACACCTGCTCAGAATTGGATATAGAAAGTGAGACACCATGTCCACCAGGGGGAGGGCTGATAGCGTTGGGGAGAGTAAGAGTAATTTTAAGTAAGTTGACTCTGAAGTTGGTGGAAAGTAGTAAGAGTAAGAGATAAGTACATTTATCTAAAACATGAGTTCTAGGTGTGTGTGTGTGTGCGCGCGCGCGCGCGCACGCGCGAGCACGCGCGCTACAGTGTCAAGAAATGACGTTTGAAAGTGGTCACGGATCTAATAAAGAAGGCCTGCTCTTGCATTAACTGGTTAATCCCTCCACAAGGCTCAGAAAGCCAGTTGTAATTAGACATCATTTTCTTTTATTACTTAAATTGAAACAACTAATTAAATCCTTAATTAATATTTTTTTAATTCCTCGGGATAAGAATTGTCAGAGAAGTTAATCTAAGTACTAAATATTACTCTGAAGTCCCAGGGAGCAGCTCACTCATGTGTTGACTCTGGAATAGACAAGACGGCTCATGCTGGGAGGAAAAGTCATTTCAAACGCAATTTACAAAATGTTTCAAGTATCAGAGTTTTTCCCCTTGGTTTTCCCTGAGATTTCTCTCTTGGCTTCTGTTAAAAGTTTCTTTCTTGATTTACTAACCCCCCAGGATCAAATCTTCAGCTGTTTTGAGAAAGACACTTGTTTAGAAAAGGGCTTGGTTCTCTCTGGGCCCATCTACACAGTATCTAGCTTATCAAGAGCAGGCTATGAGCCACACTGAGACATCTAGTGTGGGAGTGTATTCTCGTCCTTTAAAGTTCTGGAAGTTATAAAAGGACTGGCAGGAAAACTGACAAAACTATGGTAGGAGGGAGCCAGGCCTGAGAATCCAAGCCAGCTCATTTACTGTCAAGTTGATTTAGACACAAGATGACCCCACCACCACCACCATGTGCAGAGGGAGCTGAGCTTCATAGGATGGTCACGGCTGTGGTCTTTCAGGCACCAGGGCTTGCCTCCAACATGTCTTTCGAAAGATTTGAACCACCAACCTTCGAGTTAGTGGTCTAGGCACCTAATTGTTTTCACCAACTAAAGCTCCAGGCCAACATCAAGTAAACAGCTACCTAATTTCCTTGGCCCACATTTCTGCCCATTTGAAAAAGACTCCTTTTGAGTTCGCGTTGCAGCCCCTCCTCCACTCTTCCCCCTAAGTGATGGGGTAGGTGCTTGCTGCATGGGGGGCGGGGGGGGGGTGTAGTAACCCAAAGGCCCATCCAGATAAAGTAGATTATTTAGGGTTAGATTATAGAAGTTTTGTTTTGCTTTTTCTTCAGTTTCTGGGAAGTCATCAGAAACGGAATGGTCAGATCTTGGTATTCCGAAAGAGTAGGGAGAATTTTTATTAGATCATTATCTGGCTGCTAATAGCTCTTAGAGTCAAGCAAAAGGCATATTTCACATCTGGGAAATTTTAAGGCTTTTTTTTCAGTTATGATGATGTTCACATCTGCAGGCCTTCCCTTCTGTGGAATTGTTTTCCTTCCTTTGCTTGATACGTTTCTTGGCTTATCCTGTCAATTAATCTGCAATGTCTCCAACACTTAATAACAGATGGGAACTCTCTCAGGACCACTGTTTTCTATTTTACTCACTATTCATGTTTGGAAGCATCTATTAGGATTTATATGAATGAATTCGGAAAATATGGTAAAATTTATTTATTTGTGTTATTGAATGTAACACCACATTATAGTCATTTGCTGCTGCTGCTGTTGTTGTTAGGTTCCAGTGAGTTAGGTTCACAGCAACCCTGTGCACAGACAGACACCCAGCCTGATCTTACTCTATCCTCACAATCTCCACTGCCCTCGAGCCCACTGATGCAGGCACTAAAGTCAGTTCATTGTGTTCAGGATCTTCCTAGAATCACATGAAAATTGTTGGGAAACTAAAATGCGAAGTAAACGCTTTCATTTGCAGATTTCGTTTCATAATGCGTTCCGTTTTCTGGTGCACTCTGTGTTCTTAATCAAACTGGAAAATCAGACTAGGTATCTGCAAGTTTAGGATATAATTAGCTACATTTTTTTAGAAAAAGAGACAGAGAGAGAGAGAGAGAGAGAAAGGTCATGTAAATTCTCAACTCTGGCCGCACCTTAGTAAACCTGGAGCACTTGGTACAAATGTCCATGGCTGCCTTGCGCACTGTACTCTTTTAATATCTTTGGGATCAAACTGGCAATAGCAAGAGATCAGATCGGAAATACCCCCCCACCCCAATGAGTTTACATTACTAGGAGAAGAACGTTTCCTCAAGGGACGGTGACAATAGTTGCTCAGCATACAAAGGGTCATCAGTGCCTATGAATGATACATGTTGAAACTATTGAATTGCTTGGTGTGTGTTCTACTCTGCATATTCTCAGTAACAAAAATAAATAAATAAATCCTTAGCCTCAGACTTTTCTAATGTGCAGCCCTGAGTTTTGTATACAAGGTAAACTGGCTACTGCCGTGTTTAACAGGATTCTTTCCCATCTAGTAGCTCCAGTTAAAATGACCCCAAAGGGGAAGTTTGTTCTTCATAGTCAGCCTGAAGGCAGGTCTGTGGCTCCCAGGGACGATGGCCTTGGTCAGTGCTACCCGCTGCAGGCATGGGGGGGTCTAGGTCTGCATCAGGGTGGGATCAGAATATAGAACAACTTCCCTCTCTTCTCTGTTAAAGTGCTTTGGCTTTGAAGTAGAGTGCCTGAGTTAAATCTATGCTTCATTATTTATTAATACTCATTGCTTGCAAGGGAGCGCTAGTGTCTGGCTTAGTGATAAAGAATTGCACTGCCAACACAAAGGTATCCAGTTCGAATCTACCAGCTGCTGTGCTGGAGAAAGATAGGCCATCTCCTCTTGTGCAATTTACTGCCTCTGAAAACCTGATGGAGAGTCATTGCCATCAAAGTGATTCTGATCGTAGTGACCCTCCATTGAGTTTCCAAGGCTGTAAATCTTCAAGGGAGAAGATGGTCCATTGGTGGATTCTAACTGCTTGAGACTTGGATCCTCTGGAGGAGGAGCATCATTCCCTGTGGGCCTTGCTACCAGTGCCCCCTTAGTATTTATACCTTGGTTAATTGTTTGGCCTTTTGGGGCCTCTGATTCCTCATCTGTGCATTGAGGAATGGAATGCCACACTGGTAAGAATAGATACGATGGCACATGTGAACAAGCCTGTTACCTGTTTAGCAACAGAGAACTAGCATGTTGGTGGGAGGTGTTGTACGCCTCTAGGGATGAGCCTTAATTCTAATGGTCCAGGTGGGGACCTCCCATCAGCCTGGGCTCTTGGGAGGAGTGTCGAGGCAGGAGCCCTTTAACCCCAGTGGTCCAGTCTTGTCCCAGGAGCAGGCACAGAGGGTGCCAGGGTGTGTCAAGATACCACCACCCTCCTGGGGACCATCAGTTTCAGAAACCCCTTCTGACTGTGAACCTCACCGTTACCCCACTGGGGAAGGAATGTCCAGATCCTTAAAACACAATGAGGCCATCTCCTCATTTTGCAGGAGGTTTTCTTCCAGCACAGTTAACTAGTTGCTCTCAGACTAGTGAAATGGAGAGGCCAAGTAGCTTATTGGTTATTAACGTGGACTCATCAGCCTTGTTACTAGCTAGTGCTTGATCCTGGGGAGTTTACTTAATCTCTCTGCTAGCTGTTGATCTTAGGCATTTCCTTAATCTCTCTGTGGCTCTGTTTCTGCATCTGTTTACCATCTAGGGTGGTTGTATAGATGAGAAAATGTGCACAAAGCACATTAACAAACATGAACTCCAATCCCAACTCTGCTAACAGCAGAGGGTCCTGGTGTGAGTTAATCTGTCAGTCCCTAAATCCACATATCATGCATCAAAGATAATACTAAAATTTACCCTATTGGGTTGTAGGACTTGCTATGCCCAAAGCACTGGGAGCGGTGACTGGCTTGGCATAAATGCCCACAGGGAGTTGCTGGCAACAGACAGAGCTAACTGTGGCTCCTCTCCTCCCGCCCCAGTGTCCAGCCCCTCCTGTAACGGCTTTGACAGCACCCTTTCAAGGCCTTGCCGGATGCCCTTAGGAAAAGAGGTCTGCTTCATTGCCACAGTGCGTCTGGCAACACCACAGTTTTTAAAGGTAAATATCCAGGCGAGTATGTATCATGCAGAGGGGTTGAAATGTATTGTTCTTGTCATTCTTGTTAGGTACCATCCAGTCAACTACAACTCCTAATGACCCTGTGAATGATAGACCTGAACTTTGCCCTCTCTTGCTGTCCTCACCATCTTTGATATCCCAAGCCCATTGTTACAGTTTCTATGTTACTCCATCTTGATACAGGTCTTCCCGTTAGGTGCTGTCAAGTCCGGTTCTACTGGTAGTGCCTCTGTAAACAGAGTCCAACTGCCTGGTAGGGTTTTCCAGACTGTAGTTTGTATGGGGTGGGGTGGGGGTGGGCGCTCTGGGGGTTCTATCTATGGGGAGTTGTGCTTCTAACCCAAAGGCCATGCTCTGGTGGCTCCAGCCTACTGTCTGCAGGAGAAAGAGCTGCCCTTTTCCTGTGCAGTTTGCAGCCTCAGAAACCCAGTGAAAAGACAGCTGTAAATTGAGACAATGGCATTGAGGATTTCTGGGTTTGAATCTTTACCTAAGCAGATCTCCTGGTCTCCTTTCCTTGTGAAGAACCACCGAGTGGGTTGAAACCAGCAGTCTTTCCCTTAGCAGCTAAGCACTTAACCCTTGCACTGCCAGGGCTGCTAAACTCACATTGTTGTTCATTTTGCTGTGGTGTACCATCAAATCAGAACCTACTCATAGCTGACCTTTCAATGGGTCTTCAGAGGCCGTAAATCACACAAGAGGAGATTACCCATCTTTATTCCATGGAGCAGCTGGTGGATTCAAACTGCCTGCCTTGAAGTCACATTAGTTTTGCTTAATAGATTGTCTTTATTGCAAAGGTTAGCATTCCAGTGTTGTTGTTTGTGGCTGAACATCTAAAATGCCTGGTTTCTCTCACAGCCGCTCCTGCTCTTCCCCCTGACCCCAGGTTCCCAGGTTATTTGTTTGAATACAGGAGCAGTTGCCCAGCAGCAGAGAATTCAGCGTTAAGAAATTTGATAGCTTTCGGGTTTGCTCATCTGTGATTGCATTAACATCTATGGCATAGCGCTGAATCAAATTAGTCATTCAAATTCAGAAGAGAAGCCATTTTCCACATGTTTACCACACTTCTAGATAATAGGCAGGGAGTGGGGTGACATTTTGGCTCCTAGGTATTTTTTCTCCTGCTTTGCGAAATAAATTTAGTATCTGCTAATACCAGAATTAGCAGCAGCTGATGCGTGTGGGTCTAACACAACATGGAAGCTTGTTCTAAATGAGTTTAACTTCTACTCCCCACCTCCTTTTCCTCTTGAACAAACCAATGGGGAGCGTTCGGCACCCAGGAAACATTTCCCCCCCTCTCTCTCTTTCCTTCTAATACAGGAAATGTGCATAGTTGAAGAACCTTTAGAGGAATTCACTTCAAGGCATAGCTTGGAATGGAAATTTTTATTTCTGGATCACAGGTTTGTGACAAGGAAAGCTTATGTGGGTTGGGTCCCTTTCAAGTGTTGTTCTCATGAGCCGGGTTCTCCTTGGAGAGAATGGGCAGCCAGGTTGGCTGAAGAAGGATTGATGGCTGTGGGATAAGTGCTTCCAGCCCTTTGCCACCTGTGAGAGTCTTGTGAGAACTCTATATCTGGGATCCCACCATGCAGAGGAGCTGAGGCCTCTACTGAGGGCAGCTGTGCTGTGATCCCTATTCAGACTTCCCCAGTCCCAACAAGACGGCCCAGATGTGAGAGAACTTTCTTTGAACCCCTCTTTGGTCCTCCTCCCTGACCTTCTCTTCTTCCTTTGTAAACATTATTCACACTCTAAGCATTAACAATGCCTCTTCACCACTTTTTATTGTTCTCTGACTTTGGCATTTGTCCTACCCAATCCGTAGTGGTTCTGGACTCTTCAGTGGTAATAAGGGTTACTGCTATTAAGGACTCATTGTGCCAAAAGAATGGAGCATATAAATGCCAAAAATTCTGAGCACTTTGGAAAAGTGAACCTCTGCAAATTTCAAAATGGTTTTCCTTCCTGTGTCCCTGAGAAGTGAGGCCTCCCTGGGGCTTGTAGGCGTGGAAGCCCTGGGCTGCGTCTGGTACTGCACTTGCCTCACTGATGAAAGCATCCTTTCATTCCCGTGCAGGGCCCCTCCCATCATAGGATATCTGCCTTTCGAAGTGCTGGGGACCTCGGGCTATGACTATTACCACATCGATGACCTGGAACTCCTGGCAAGGTGCCACCAGCATCGTAAGTATCACATACCCTCAACCCACGCTGGCACCTCTCCTCACAGGGGGCACTCTCTGCAAGTCCCCCGACCCCTGGTTTCTCTGTGAGTTGGGGGTTTGCCTCTCTGGGATAATGTAGCAGGGTGGTGACCCCCCGGATTGGATTACTCTGCCTGGTCACAACCTGGAATTGACTTGACTTGACCTACACCCCCACCCTCCCAGAACCTTCACTGTAGCCCCCAGATTTAATCTTAATTATGAAAGCAAGGTAGTATCAGGGAAATTTTTTAAGTTATACAATCCATTTCAGAAGCAAAGTGCTGAACTCACATACCTGATCTGTAGTCAGTACACACGTATCAGACACACGCAGGCGGATTGCCCGTAAGCAAGGTTAGTACAGGCTTACGTGCCCTTCCTTGCTGATCTGTGGTGAGTGAGCGATTTCACATTTCTTCCCCACATCAAAGAGTCTGCTTCCAGGTAGGGCTGGCGTCTGTCTCCCTCCCAACCCCACAGTACCCTCCTGCAGCATCAAAGCTGCCTTTCAGTTGTACAACCCCTGACAGGGACTGAGTACCCAGCAAGCGAGGGAAGCAGAGGCACATGGTGGCTTGGTGGGAAGGAGCTGTGCTGCTGATATAACAGCAGGCAGTCGGATCCACCGGCCGCCACATGGGCGGAAGACAGGCAGTCTCAATTTACTGCCTCTGCAAACCCAAAAACTCATTGACGGGTCAGCTATGAGTCACATCCAACTTGATGGCAATTAACAACGACTAATTTGTGAGTACCAAGTCTGTCTTGGAGAGGGTGAAACAAAATTTCTCCTTGGAGGCTAGATTTTTGAAGCTCCAGCTCACATACATTGAGTACGTGGACAGGAAGGACAGTCCTTGGAGAAGGACATCATGCTTAGAAGGGTGGAGGGACAGGGCAGGAAAAGAAGACCCAGGACGAGACAGATTGATACAGTGCCTGGTGCAGTGGAAGTAGGTGTGTCAGAGTCAGTGAGACTGGCTCAGGGCAGGGCGGGCTTCAGAGCTCCTGTACATAGGGTTGCTATGTACATAACAATAATTTCACAGGGCTGTTTCATATTTAAAATGGAACTGGGCCCATATGACCTTGTTTACTACAGATTATTAAGTAAGCACAAGTAAACCCAGGCTTACCTGCTCCCACTGCTGAGGGAGGACATAAAGGTGACCCCCGGTCTACTTATTGCCCTGCAGCAACTTGAGGTCTGATGGGAAAGCCCCAAACACATGATCATGTAGAGCGATGCTGTGACGGAAATGTGCACAGGACCCTGGTGGTCAGAATAGACACCTCACCAAACTGGGGTCAGGGTAGCTCTGCCACACATAGAGCAGACGCTCTGGCAATGGTGTATTCGGCTCTTGATGTGAGTGGTGGTGGTAGTGAATGCTGTTGAGTCAGAACCATCCCATAGCTGACCCTCCAGTCGGTTTTCAGAGGCGGTTAATCAAAAAGGAGGAGATTGCCCTGCTGGTGGATTCGAACCGCGTGACTTTAGGATTGTAGCACAGTTTCTTACCACTAGGCCCCCAGAGCTCCCTTGATGTGGAGCGAAGGAGGATTACAAAGTCTCATTTAGTCCTTGTTGTTGTTGTTAGGTGCCATTGAGTCAACTACCGCTCAGGAGATGCTGTGAGTTGTAGTGAGGAACTTGCCCCCTCCGGCACCATCCTCACAATCTCCCTCATGCTCAAGTTCATTGCTGCAGGCACTGTATCAGTCCATCTCGTTGAGGCTCTTCCTCTCTGACTCTCCACTTTTCCCAGCATGGCATCTTTTTCCAAGAACTGGCACATCCTAACAACGTGCATACTTAGCAGGAGGAATTAAAACTCATCCCTTGAAAGCTTTATTTTCCAGTGCTTTGAGCAGGAACTTTAGTCCTCGCACGGACCTGACAACTAGGATTGACCACTAATGTTATATTTCATGGATGCCATATCAGTAGGTGCACTATAACGTTCTCTTCTGTGCTGTTCTTATTGAAGGAGGAGCAGCCTTGGGGTCCATCAAGATCTGCTATTCAAGTTTGAGACTAATCTTTAAGACTTTTTAAAAAAAATACTCGTTTATTACAAAATTCAAATGCATTGTTTTTCACACCAAAACATTCCCATTTCCCTCACATCCTTGACCCATGAATTGTACGACTCCATAATAAATCTCACATACCCTGCACATCCTTACCCATCTGCTTCCACACACACCCCCACCCTTTGATCCTCATACTCATTCCACAATAATAGTTTTATACAGTATTTGTCTTTATGGGACTAAGTTCGTTCACTCAGCGTAGTAGACTTTTATCTCCGTGTTCCTCAAGCTGTGGTCCCAGGGCCAGCTGCTTAGGCATCACCGGGAGTGTTAGATGTGTAGAATCTCTTCTCTCTCACTGCATCCCCGATTAATCAGGTATTCAAGGTCCCCATGTGATTCATGCCTACTTTAAAATGTGGGATACTCTGTCTGAGTAGAAGGAGTCTGATGGCTCCATATAGTGTTTTATGTATCAGCTGAGCTGCTAACCAAAAGGTCAGCAGTTCAAATACAGATGCTTCTTTGCTGGAGGAAAACAGTCTCCTGCCTTAAAATATTTACAGCCTGGGAAACCCAGTGTAGGGTCACCATGAGTCAGAAGCTGTTTGGTTTGGGTTCACCTAGAGGAGCTACGTGACACTCTGTTGGTATTGTCTGTAGGGAGATGCACTGCTAAACCAAAGGCCACACCTCTCTGATGGTTCAAGTCCACCAGCAGGTTTTTGTGAGAAAGATGGGCAATCTCCACCCACGCAATTTACAGCCTTGAACCTGCCAGAGGGTCAGCTATGTATCATTTCTAATACAACAACCATGAGATTAATCGACGGAGAGGTGCATTGGGAATCAGGGTTGGCGAGGTACTTCTGAAAGATCACTCACTCATGCCCGCAATAGCATGGAGTCAGAACTGACTCACAGCAGACCCTTTGGCAGGTTTCCAAGGTTGTAAATTGGACAAGAGAAGATTGGCCATCTTTCTCCTGAAAAACTGTGGTGGATTTCTGCCAGAGGGACATAGCCTTTCAGTTAGAAGCTCAACCCCCTCTAGCCTAGGTCACCAAAGCTCCCATCTGCGAGGTCCATGAAGTACAGTTCCACAATGACACACGTGGGGTTACCAGGAGTCAGTATCACCAGGTGGATGGACAACAGCAGGTTTACCTTCAAGCTGTGGGCTCGTGATTCTTCTAATGGAAGACACTCATTCAGGCTGAAGTCCATCCAGCATCTGAAGGCCTTCAGGTTGTGTGATTGTGTCTTATTCCAGGACACAGATAGACTGTCTTGCTTTGGTGAACTGATGTCCTCACCTTGCTAGGATTCTCTCCTCTTTGGGTACCTCCTTCTCCAAGAGAGGGACTGCCATTATTATCTATTTCCCAGTTACAATTTCTTTTGACTAAGGACTGTTGAGGGAGCACTGATAGCCTCACGGTAAGAAGTAGCGCTGCAATCCCAAAGGCACCAGCTGCCAGCTACTCCACAGGAGAAGAATGGGCACTCTCCTTCCTCCCTGGTGACTTAACTGCCTCTGAAAACCCATTGGAAGGTCAACAATGGGTCAGTTCCAACAGGGACTCTTTGCATAAAGAGATGCTAAATGCCCGCTGCCAGAGATTGTTGCTGTTGCTTGGGGCTGTCCCGTCTGTTTCTGGCTCCTGTCTCCCCCACGTGACAGAGCAGGAGGGTTTTCTAGGCTGTAATTTTTTACGGCAACTGATCTCCAGAACTTCCTCCCACGGAACCACTGAGTATGTTGAAAGCACCAACTTTTCAATTACTAGTCAAATGCCTACCATTGGAGACCACCAGTGCTCCTTGGCCTGAAGATAAAACTCCACTTTGTTTTCCATTTCTTTAGACCAAAGACCATCTTTCTGTCTTGCCTCAGTGTTAAATCATCTGCATCCATTCCATTCTTAGTGTCTCACAGGAGAGCACTGCAGGGGTGTCCTGCAGCCGAGGTGGATTGGATGGGGTGGGACAGCGCCTGCCCCTCTTCATGTCAGAACTCTGCAGACTAGATATAAAGTTCTGACTGATAGCTCAGAGCGAGTCCTGAAGTTGCTGGCTGTCAGTTCTATTTTCAGTCCAATTTTAGCGGTGTCTGGGTGCTCTTTTCTGGGCTCAGCTCCCAGAGGCTCCAGCAACGGTTCCACCTGCAGCAAAATGAGGAGCACTGGGGAAATCTGGGCCTCATTAATGAATTAAACCTCCAGCTTTCAAAATATTTTCACAGGCTTTCTTTATTTGAGGGTATTTTCCATGTTTGTGAACATTTGAGAGAGTAGGTATTTTGGTCATTTCTTGATTATTTTTTAATCCAAGGCCATTTACCATCATACTAATAAAATCAGAAACCAAAGTCACGGCCAGAAGGTCCATTTGGACTCATAGCCACTTGCCAGGACAGAGTAGAACTGCCCACCGGATTTGAGCCACCAACCTTGAGGTTAGCAGCCATGCATTTTATCCACTATGCCACGAGGTACCACAATAATATTAATACTTACTTTAAAGTACAATATAGTCAGAGGAAAAGGTTTGGTCTTCTCTGGCTCTCTTTTAAAAATTGTATTCTAGTAGTAACTTTCAGAGCTCAGGTGGCTTTAGTGGTAAGAAGGTGTGCTGCAATCCCAAAGGCACACAGTTTGAATCCACCAGCTGCTCTGTGAGAAGAATGAGCAATCTCCTCCGATGTGATTACTGCCTCTGAAAACCCACCAGAGGGACAGCTATGGGTTGGTTCTGACTTAATGACACACAACAATAGTAACTTGTGGACAACCTTTTCTATGAACATTTGTTACAAGCAGAATACATTTTTCTACAGTGATGCAGTTTGGCAAGGGGAAGTCATGCTGTTACCGGTTTCTGACCAAAGGCCAGCAGTGGATATGGCTACAGACTCACTACTACATCACCTACCATCAGTGGAACTCCAAGCCCGAGTTCATCGTGTGCACGCACTCAGTCGTCAGGTACCGGTGGGCTCGGGTGGGCTGTCCTCTGGCAGTGTTGTTAAGGTTGTGTGTGCAAGGTCACCCTTGTGATCCAATCCTTCCAGCTGACCCACCAGGTGCCCAGCAAAGGCTTAGTGGTAAGGAGTTGCACTGCCAACCAGAAGGTGCATGGTTTGAACCCACCAACAGCTCTGTTGGGAAGGATGGACATTTTCCCATGTGATTTACTGCCTCTATGAACCTGCTGGAGGGTTAGCTATGAGTTGGTTCCAACATCAATCAAGGCAGGGAGCCCGGGTAGCATAGTGCCTTACTTGTTGTCTGTGAACCAAAGGTCGGTGGTTCAGTTCCACCAGCTGCTTCACAGGAAAAGGATGTGAAAATGGACAGCTTCATGAAGTGGAAGGAGGATTGCTGTGATGGTTAAAATCCGACCTAACTGGATAGCAGTGAGTTTGGGTCTTTTTGGTAAGGGTCGAGGCTGACTGTGAGCTTTCTCTGCTGAGCAAGAAGAAACTGGGAGAGAAAAATGGCTCTGAGTGCATCATAGGTCAGTTTTCATCAGGGTAAGCAAGGAAACTGTCCTTTCTATGGTGTGCCATAATGTCTTAATTAAAAGATTCATGAACTTGACTTCTTCATTGAGCTGATACTAGACTTGTCATTGCTACTAGTTGCCAACAAGTCAAGGACGAGCCCTGTGAATAACAGATTTGGACTGTCTCCTATCCAGTGCCATTTTCATCATCTCTAATACACTTAAGCCCATTGTTGCATATACCATGTGAGTCCTTCTGGTTGAGGGTCCTCTTGTCCTTCACCAATGCTTCACCTTTCCAAGCATGTTGTAACCTCTCCAAGGAATAGCCTCTCCTGACAACATGCCCAAATTACGTTATTTAAAAGGTGAGGAAGACTATGGAGTCTTGTATTGCTAGTGTGTCCTGCTGTGGTCCCTTGAGTCTTTATCTCTCTAATTAACTCTGTCTACCCGCCTGAAATAAGTCAACAAAAGGTAGGCTTTGAATTTGTGGACAGGGTGAGATCCTGGCATTGCCGTAGGTGCTGGCCTCTGACTCTAGAATCTTCCATGTGGCCCATGCTAGCCTCTTCAGGTAACGAATAATTACCCCAGTGAGCTCTGCTCCCTTTCAGGTACACGCCCAGCTCTGTTCTCCTGGGCTGAGAATTCTTTTGAGTTTTAAATCAGGCCCCTTTGAAAGCCTGAACTCTTCCCAGCTGCCAGGATATTACTTAGTAACTTACTGCTTCACTGACCTACTTACATATTTTTCCCTTTTCTTCAGCCTTCCCTTGTTGCCATTTTGAGAAGAAAATTAAAATTTTGCCCCTAAATAACTCAAACACGTACTTCCCTTTATTTTTAAGGCTTTAAACCCATCCTCTTACCATCAGCCCCCACCCCTGGCAGCAACCTAGGCAGAGTTGGCAAAGCAACCAGGGGCCCTCAGAAGTGAGCACCTAGCAGGACTCCTGGTGACCCCGCATGCCCTGGCCAGGCATTGCATCCCAGCATTTCCTGTGCCCTTTCTAGTCAGCTCACAGTCCCCAAAGGCAAAGAAAAAAAAATGCCATTCCTCTGGCTTTTCTTCTGGGACAGGGTAGAAATACTAAGAATATAAGTCGGAAATATATGTCTTAGAGAAAATACAACCAGGGTGCTCCTTTGAGGCAAGGATGGTGAAACTTCATATCCCATATTCGGGGCATGTTGATAGGAGAGGGTATTCCTTGGAGAGGGATATCTTGCTTGGAAAAGTGGAGAGACAGCAAAGGACAGAGCCCCCCAACCAGGTGGACTGACACAGTGACTGCAGCAATGGCTCAAGAGTGTCAGAGATTGTGAGGATGGCACAGGATAGGAGAGGGTTCAGATCTGTTTTTCATAGGGTTGTTATGAGTCACACACAATTTGGCATCTAACAACAACGACAACAATCCCTAGAAAAATACATTGTTCTGGAAAAGGAAGAAGGTCAGAGACAGAGAGAAAGACCCCCAACAAAATGGGATGACATTGTGACAATAACAGCTCAAGTATATCAGAGCTGGTGAGGCTGGCTCGGGACAGCACGGGTTCAGATCCGTAGTTCATAGAGCGCAGTGAATGACAGTTGATTTAACAGCACCTAACAAGCCACAGCTTTGAGAGCCTCCATGGGTCACGGCAAGGAGCTCTGGTGGAGTAGGGCCTCACATGTGGTCTGCAAAGCAAACAAAATTCAGTGGTTTGGTTCTACCAGCTGCTTTATACGAGAGGAAGAGAGACAGTCTTCTCCCATGAAAATGGACAGCCTTTAAATTGCTTAGAGCTGTAAGGATTATTAGGAGTCAGAATCAACTGAGAACACAAAAAAACTGAGAACAGGGAAAAAAAAAATAAATAAAAGTTAGGAGTGTATTTTGTACACTTCCAGCACAGCCACATGCACTGATAGAGGAAGGTAGTGGTTCAGTGGCAGAATTCTTACCTTCCATGCAGGGGACCTCGGATTTGATTCCCATCCAATGCATTTTACACAGTCACCACCCATCTGTCAGCGGAAACTTGTGTGTTGCTGAACGGTTTCAAAAGGGCTTCTAGACTAAGAGGGAATAAGGGGAAAGGTCCGGCAATCTGTTTCTGAAAATCAATCAGTGAAAGCTCTAGAAATCACAAGAGGCAGCTTGTGTTGTGCATAGAGTTGTCATGAGTTGAGAACCAATTTGGTGGCAGCTAACAACACACACACAAAATCATATGCTGGAAGAAAGGAGAAATTCTTCTTTTCCTGGACAATCCTCTATCAGTCCACATTTCATGCCCACCTTCAGGGCCTGAATCTTCAGTTTCCAGACTTCAGAAAACAATACTTTGTGATTCTATGCCCAGTTCCATAAACGGCTACCCTGGCCGACTTTTGCAGAGACTCCCTCAGTTCCTAGGGGAAAGTGAAGCTTAAAAGTCACTGCCGGGGAGCTCTGGTGGCCTAGTGGCAAGAAGCTGCACTGCAATTCCAGAGGAACACGGTTCGAATCCACCAGATGCTCTGCCGGAGAAGGAGGCGCAATATCCTCCTGTACCAGTCAGATCTGATTTGACGGTACACGCACAAAAATAATAATAAAGAAAAAAAAACTTAAAAAAAAAAAGTCACTGCCATCAATTCAATTCCTACTCAGAGTCCCTTCCATTAAGCTTCTGAGACTGTAAATCTTAACATGAGGAGACTGCTTATCTTCCTCCCATGCAAAGGCTGGTAGAGATGAACCCCTGGAAATGTACAGTCCTTCTGTTAGCTCAACACGCTACAGGCTACATCACCAGATGAACCCCATCCCCCCAATGCTTCGTTCCTCAGACTCTGCCCCGTCCCCTACTCTTCGTTTCTGTCCACCAAATCCTAGAAACAAACCTCTCAGAGAAAATAGGGAACAGAGTAAATAAATAAGGTAGCAAGCCTTTTAGAGGCCCAAGGGCCCATGTCATCGTCCATGACCCCTTCCATAATTGCCTGAATTGAATTGATTGATGCACACTGTCAATCAGTGTGTATAGGGAGAAGGACCTGGCAAACTACATCCGAATGATCATCCATTGCCGATACGATGGGACACATTTCTACTGTGAAATGACCAGCAACTGCATCACCCTGATGGCAGCAACAGCAAAAATGTTGTGTCTAGATTCAGCTCAGAGGAGTAGGAAGTGAAAACAATGAACAGAGATTTCATTCTTACCTGCTTTAATAATGTCATTGATTATGTTTTCATCTCTAGTGACATAGTGGTAAGGAATTGCACTGCCAGCGCAAAGGCACACAGTTCAAAACTCACCAACTGCTCCTCAGGAGAAGGTGGACAATCTCCCCTGGTGTAATTTGAAAACCCACCAGAGGGCCAGCTATGAGTCGGTTCCAAATCAGTGACACACACCACCTTATTGTAGACAACACAGTTCAACACAAAGCCTGATGTGAGTGTCTGTATTTTATGGGGTTTTTTTAAGGAAAGATCTACCTGAGAACTAGTAACTGAGTGTTTTATAGCCTTCAAGTATTTGGGAGAAGAAAAATGAGTTGGTAATAACACTAGCAGAAAGTCTAAATTAGCTCCTGGGAGTTCTTATTAAGAAATATCATGATCCTTTAATGAATGAAAAGACTCGCTAAGTCTAGTTTACTTTTTATTTCAGAAAGAGCTTGTTTACATCCAAAATCATATCTTATTTCTATTTTCAAATAAATATCACCTGGAATAGTACTATGAAAAACAAAAAGTGTGCCTGGTCCTGTCTAACCCAAGTTTTATATGAGAGAAAATCTTCAGAGAAACGTAATTACTGAAAATGTAAGGTGCCACTCCTGTATATCCACAGTTGGAACAGCAGGTTTATGAAAGGCTTCTAATTATGTGAAGCTGAAGTTTATTCTCTAGCCGGAAATAAGTTTTTAAAGGCAATTATGTTTAATGGTCTGGGGGTGGGGTGCAGAGGGGATAGGTAAATGAGAAGAGAAAGTTCTGAATGTAGCATGAAGTCAGGCCGCTAGTATTTAAGTGAGAGATTGAAAGCAGCAGCCCTGGGGCTTGGCTGGTGTCCTGGCAATGGTTCTGGAACAGAGTGTTGTGTTGAGGGCTCAGCTCCCAAGCACATTTTGGCCTTGTCATCCCAGAATGTCCGGCCTCCAGATATGTCTCTCATTTTCAGTTATGCGGATGTCCGAGTGGAAAGAAGGCAGGACCTGGCTTTAGAAGATCCTCCCTCTGAAGCCGTCCACCCTTCAACACTCAAGGTATGCTGTTTCCTGCCATGCTGAGGATTCGGGTACTCGGAAGCTTGTTGGATAATGGGGATGCTGTCAATGTCTTCATTCAGACATCAGAGGATACAGAGCAGTTACCTAACTCACCGAAGACCACCTAAGGTTAAAACTGAGTTAGATAGAGTTCATGGGCTCCAGTTTGGGGACTTCCCAACCTCCCAGGAATGGCAGCATTACATTCACTTTGTCATTCTCTCACAGATAAAAAATCTGCATCA